AAGTTACAAAGCTTGTTACAAAATGGAGTTGATGGAGCCAGCTTACAACAATACAGTCACCTTTAGCTACATAAAGTGATGAAAACCTACAACACTGCAATGGATGAATCAGGCCCGCTGCAAGTTACTAATGGATTAGCTGAGCTGCAAACCCGGCCTCACCATTCATTTGAAAACAGCCCAGCTGTCCATCCCCAACGCCTGCTCCAGAACCTGCAGTGGTCTCTCTGGCTGTGGAAATAACAAAGTCGTCTTGGCTCCTCCTGAAAGCTGGACTGTGCAGCCGCTCTGCTCTTACCCAGTGCTCAGGACTCTTCCGGGGGCAGACCGCACAGCTCTGGGCAGGTCCCCTTGCTCTGCAGGCCTCGGGTGCTGGCCCTTGTCTCTGGGCAGCCTGTGGGCTGGAGCTGGTCCCTGCTCTACGTGACACAGAGCAGGCGCAGGCTCAGGGCACTCTTGGCTCAGCCCACGCGCCATGAGGAGTTTTGTTTTTTGTCTTTTTGAGACAGGGTCTCGCCATGCAGTTCAGGCTGGCTTTGAGCTCATTTTGCCGCCCAGGCTGGTCTCGAACTTGAATCCATTCCCCTGCCTCAGCCTCCCAAGTGCTCGGGTGACTGTCTTGCACCATCATGCCTGGCTGCTATACCCCATTTTAGCAGTCTTGATATCCTGCTAATTCACCATTTTGGTTGGAAACCTTGTAGCTCTGTTGGAAAACAGATCAGCTCAAAGCAAACATGAACTATTATTATTTTAAACAGCTGAACATCACTTTTGAGTAACTACACCTCACACTTCAGGAGAGGTGTGACCTCTCCTGAGACAGGACTAGTCTGTCAGCAGGGAAGCAGCACCCTGGGGACCTCTCCCAGGAAGAAGGAGCATAGTTCTGGAAGAATCCATCTGAAGAAACTGCCAGGCCCGGCCCAGACTCCACCCTTGCTCCTGAGAGTTCTGTCATTCAGTTCAGGGGCGGCAGAAGGCAGAAGTCATGGCTGACATCTGTTGTTTCTTTTAAAGAGACCCAAATTCTGTTGAAAATGGAACCGTTGCTTAGGAAACCTAGTGGCTCACCCTCTATTAGCAGATTTTCTTCAATCCATGTTCGCCCTCTCTGAGGCAAAATTATGTATGTAATTTCTGAGAATAGAACTTCATTGCTAACTGGCACTAATTACTTTCAAAATATCTTGAGTCTTCTGGGAAGGTTCCTCCTCTGACTACCTCATCTGTTTTTGTAGCTGCCATTTTGTTTGCCTGATGAAGCGACATTTCACTCAAACCTGCTTCCTTTCACAGTTATGACCTCATTGTGCCCAAGACTTAAGTGGATATAAAGTATCATAGAGAGCTGGTTGGTAATTAAGGAGACCTAGAAGCAAGGCCATCTTCATGAAGAGAGACAAGGGCATGTGATGATGGAGAAACTAGGTGTTGCTGAGGCCAGGCTTGACCAGAACTGAGGCCGTGTGGACCTGCCAGTCCCCCAGCTCTGAGGTTCATGTGCCCTCTGCTGTGGTCCAGGTCATCTTTTACACCCCAAGCGTTCATGTGTTGGAAACTTGGTTTGTAGTGAGTGCTGTTGGGGTGTTGGAACCTGTAACGATTGGTGCCTACTGGAAGATCAAACCTCACTTCTGACAGAAGAGCCCAGCGGTGTTGTGCAGAGACCACCAAGTTCAGGGGCCAGGCCTGCCACAGGTCACCTCATGATGCTGGTCCTGAGTCCTCCTCCAGCAATGGAAGAGCCTCAGCTGCTGATCTAGCTGCGAAATTCTGGGCTTATCATGTACTTATTCTCACCCAGGTGTGACACGGTTGGAGTGTATTGGGTGAGTTGGAACAACTTGCAAAATTTGTGGGGTTTGTTTTTAGTGGTACCAGGGATTGAACTCAGGACCTGCTGCTTGCCACGCAAGCACTTATTCTACTGAGCTATCTCCCTGGCC